CTACCAGGTCAGTATGAGAAGACGACATCTGAGGTAGACAGCTGACCCAAAACACCGGACCAGACCTGTATACAAATTACTTTGATAATTTCTCCTACCTTTGGTTATGAAATACTCCAATTGTTAAGTTTATGGTAAATTACCTATGTCTAGTACTTCTGTGTTACCTTGGTGGGTTTCCCTACTCCAAGGCTCTAACTAGATAGCCCTCAGAAACTCTATTCTAAAAAGAAATTATAGTTCTGTTTAGGCCACTGTTGATCTTACAAGGTGGGAGACCTCACCTGGCCAATAAATACCTGCTCTGAGCCTGACCATAAATATGCACTTTCTCATAAAATCACTCAAAGTCAATCAGAAACACAAACAAAATTTTAACTCAGAAATACAACTTCTCGACTGTTAAATTCTTACTCGTGACTTTATTAATTTTACTACCTGTATTAATTATATCCTGTCTATTTTATAAAATTGTTCTCTTACATTTCCCAATGTGTAACTAGGCCTACAACAAGATTGATGATGGCTAAACATCTTGAAGAAATAGATAAAATTTATAACCCTGCATAAAAAATTTGTAATAGTGTGATTCTATATATGGGAATGAGCAATGAAGGGTAAACATTTCCTGGATCATAATAGACTAGTAAGACAGGCGATCCAGAGAATTTTAGTATCAACAGGTCCTGATAAAAAACCTAACACCTTGAATGGCAGCTCAGAAGATTCTTCACCTGAACTAGGAATGAGCCATCCTAGCACCGTGGGACAAAATTGGTCATGAATTGTCTCTCAAAATATTGGTCGAATTTAGGACCAAGGGGGAGCACTGTGAATGAAAGTACTACAATGTGAACTAAAATACTGCAACCATGTCAGTAAACAAAGATTTCAGAAACCAAGTCATCAGCGGCTGCTGCCACCCTCCTGCGAGTACAGGCCTGCAGCCCAGCCTCTGCAGCCCCTCACAATGGTGCCCTCTGAGGGGACTCAGAATAAGAAAGGACAGGATACTGGCTCTAGATGGCTAGGTGCTTGTCAAAGGAATGAATTCAGTGAGACCAAATGTTTGCTTCTTCCCATAAATAGAAAAGCACTAAATTCTTAAACTAGAGATATCTGGTTTTCCTTAGATAACAAGCAATCTTTTATTGTTCCAACTACATGGTCTTCCTTGTAAAGCTCCTATATATCCTAGCTCCTCCCCTACCTCTTTGGAGCAGTCCCTCAGAGCAATCTGAGAGGCTGTCATCCCGGTTCGTGTCCTCTTGCCAAATAAACTTAACTCTTAACTTTTAGGCTGCACATATATTTCAATCGACACAACTTACAACAAACCCAGGAAGAAGTGAATATTATCATGCCCAGTTTACTGATTCACCAACAGGCTAAGTGAGGTTACATTCTAGTCCAAGTTCCTATGGTGTGGAAATGGCGATTTAAACCTGAAGCTGGGGTGCCCATGCCTGTGCTCCTTCTCTCTCCCATCTACCAGATCACTTCTCTGTGTAATCCACCTGTCCAATACACAAGTTTGCAGCCAGCCAGCTCTTAAATGCAATGTGTGCCACCATTTGTCAATGCTGGTTAATTACCATAAACTGCTCTCAGAAACCGTTACAGAAAAAACAGGTGGACCCAATTCCCTACCCACAAAGAAGAGGAATTCTGCCTTGCCTTCCCCTGTAATGTGCAGAAACCCTTCCCTACACCACTAAATTCAAACGTATGTTTCATCCGTGTTTATGTTTGCATGGGACTTATTAGAGCACAAAGTGCCTGCAATAATTCCATCTCGGTTCCTTTCCAAATATACAGATTAGCCCAAATCAGATCCAGAATAGACACAACTCATCAAATCCGCAATGAAACACACTGGATCAAGAACAAAATACGTGTCCTAGTCCAGAAAACTACGGGTCCCTCTTTCTTCCTGTCATTATGCAATCCCACCAGAACTCATTACTTTGCTGTCTGCTCGTCTGGCAACCAAACTCAGAGAAGAGTCAACTCAACAGAGCGCCGTGCTGGGGAGAACCCCCCGCAGCAGCACTGTGGGCTGCTTGCCCTCCCGCACGCTCTGCTGACCCCTAGTGTCCTCCGTGGAGACCAGGCCAACAGAGCTGTTCCCAACAGCTGCAAAGTCCCACAATTTAAATAAAAGCATTTTATTTCATACGATATGTTACGTATATACCCATCTCTGAAAACAGCTTTGCCAGAAGCCCAAATCTTCAACATTAATCTGCGAAGGCAAATCCGGTCCCCAAGGGAAAACAAGTCTTAAGACGATGCTAAGGCCTCCAAAGTCCTCTCCACGACCGTCAAACAAACTGCCTGCCGGTCTGCAGCTGCAGGTGGCTACATGTCTGCTTTTAAAACACCCCCCTCCTGCCCTCGTGTGCTACAATGTCCCTCTACGCCCTCCCATGTCAGGGTAAGAGCAGCCGCTGCAGAACCTAGCAGGGCAGCACTGACAGGACTGGACACAGAGGATCAGAGCTAAACTAAGCCTTCTGACGACACGAGCTTGTCACTCTGTCACTTTACAGATGAAGATATATATAGAGAGGTGGGGTGATCTTGCTCAAAGTCACACAGCTAATAAGTGTCATAGACTATAACTCTGCTCCTCCCACCGGCGTGATGTCCCAGCTGGGACGCCCACAGGGTTCTCTCGTGCCTGACTGACCAGTCCTTGACTGTCACTCATGACCCACCACACGGTCGGTCTGCAGCCTGCCTTTTCAACATCTTTTCCCTCCAGTTTCTCAGGAACATGGCTGCTCTGGCCAATGTATGACTTCCGGCTCCCCGAACCCTCCGTGCTCAGGCCAGTCATGCCTGTGCATCCAGCCCCTTGCTCAGAGGCACTTCTGTCCCTGCAGGTGGATTTTTCCACTCTCTGCATGGACACCCCCTCAGGGGAGCCCTCTTCTCGCCCTCAGCATCGTAGGTGTCCCAGGCCACATCCCGAGCTGCCCCATTAAAACTGCTTGTGCCCTGGTCTGCTAGTCAGACCAGCAGCTTCAGACCCCGGGGTTATGCCCGGGTCACCTGGCAGACCTACTGCCCATCTCCCAGCCCCTACCCAGCAGGTCACCAGGAAGTCCCAGTAGGTGCCTCACCCAAACCAGAAGGCTTTTCACTTGCCAGCACCGCTGATGACTGTTTTCCAACCTTTGATCAGTTTCACACAAAACAGCAGCTTTCACTTTAAAGCGGGGGTTTTCCCCTTCTGCTGTCCATCCTTACTGGAAACATCAAGGGAAACCAAAAGGCCTTTTCTCAACACTTTTCTGATGACACATTAACAGCCACAATACTCACATGCTCAAGAAGTTTGGTTCCACATGGTTTTGTTTCCCTTACGCTAAGTGGCTCAAAAGACTGTGGGATTCTTTCTTTTTTGAGGGTATTTGTACTCAGTTTATCGGCTTTAATCAGTTCTTGACTCTTTTCAGTGTCCCTGGCAGTTGCCACTTCTCACTCCCTACAGCAGCCTTCCTCCCAACTTTTTTTAAAAATATTTTTTATTGATTTATAATCATTTTACAATGTTGTGTCAAATTCCAGTGTTCAGCACAATATTTCAGTCATTCATGGACATATACACACTCATTGTCATATTTTTTTCTCTGTGATTTATCTTAACAATTTGTGTATATTTCCCTGTGCTATACAGTGTAATCTTGTTTATCTATTCTACAATTTTGAAATCCCAGTCAATCCCTTCCCACCATCTACCCCCCGGTAACCACAAGTCTGTATTCTCTGGCCATGATTCTATTTCTGTCCTGTATTTATGCTTTGTTTTTGTTTTTTGTTTGCTTTTGTTTTTGTTTTTTAGATTCCACATGTGAGCGATCTCATATGGTATTTTTCGGTTTGGTAATTTTCCTTTGTATTATCATGGACTTTATTTCTGTGACTCCCTTGTAAATTTTTGACTTGTGGTTACCCTTTTTTATAAATCTATTAACCTATTACTATAACTGTTTTTATTAAACTGATAATAACATGATCTCAAACCCATCCTACTGTTAAAAAAATTTAAAAAAGAAAGAAAAAAAATTCTATATTTCCCTGATTCCCTCTCCCACTCTCAGTGATTTGTATGCCTTCTTTTATAATTTCGTGTTTTCTTTATTTGTAATTCATGAGTTATCACCTTTCCAGTTGTGAGTTTCTCATTTCTGTAGCATCCTGCTGCTTTTCTATTTAGAATAGCCCTTTCAATATCCTTTTTAGCATGGGTTTACTGTTGCTAAACTTCTGCAGCTTTTTTTTTGTCTGTGAAACTCTTTATTT